GCAGTCCGTTGGTCCGCCTTAAGCGCTCTGCTCCTGTTTCCCCCCCTCTCGAAAAAGATATATATAGATATGGACATGTATGTATATATGGAGGATAGGATATATCTCCACCGATGCCAGTGCAAATTGTTTATCGCCCTTCGGGGCTCTTTATTAACTTTACGTTCAGTCAACGGCCCACTGAGAACTGACCTCTGACCCTCTACACCGCCGGGGGCAGTGACTATGACTCCCACCGCATTCCCACTTGGTCAGTTTTCAGTTCCCATTTCCCATTTCCCTGTTCCCTGTTCCCAGTTCCAATCCCGTCCAGATTTCGTTTCGTAGCCGACTTTCGATTTCCATCCGCTTCGATTGGATTGGGGGTTTTTGGGTGGGTCAACCTCCCCCCATATCCTTTTGGCCAGCTTATTTTTTTCCGCAGTTTTTCCTTACTTTTTTTTTATTTGCAGAAAACGCGGAAATGCACTCAAAATATTAAATGCTTCAGCAGTTTGCAATTATTGCCTTGTGCTTAATTCATAATACGCATCGAACTGGGAAATGGAGCGGGAGTGGAAAATTGCTCAGTAGCTGGAACAGGCAGTTGGACAGGAGTTTTCACAGGACAGGCCTCTTGGTTCTCAGGGAGGGTGGGTTAAGGATAAAATGGAGGAGGAGGACAGAGAGGAAAGAGAGTTAAGAGAGGACCAAGGAGGAAGGACGAGAAGTGCTTTCCACTGACCACAAAGTGCATTTAAAACGGACAAATCAAGGGTTGCGGTCAGTTCAGGTTAGATTTTTCATTAAAGGTTTTGCCTTTTAAATTAATTATAAGGTTAAAAGATACCTCAAATGATAATAATAAATTTGGGGATAAATGTAAATAGAAAATACAAAAATATTATAAATATACAATCTATTATTTGGAGAGATTTTTGAAAGAGAAAATAAAGGGGAAAATTAATCTGATAAAGCCATAAATTATTTCATAAATATTTATATATAATTAAATATATATTAAATAAATATAATATTTATGTTAAAAAACAATAAAGTAATGCCTGCATTCATTTCATTCACTCTTTTTTCCTATATTATTAAAGATCGTTAGTATGGCAGCTATATGATATAGTAGTCTGATTTAAATAATATTTTACACAAAATTCAAAATTAATATATAATGGCTATATGTTAAATTTGGTAAGAATCTGTTGACAACTGAATAAGTTATGATTTTTTTCCCTTAAAATTTTTCGATCGTTCCTATGACAAATATATATACATATGTATATATATAGTCCACCGATTCGCCATTCTCCAATTTATATACTAGTAAAATTATATAGAAGAATAACTCCATAGTTTTATTCAAATAGCTTGAATTTGTTCCAAAACAAATATCCCACATCTGTGCATATGATTCCCAACTGGTTCTAACCTCCTCGGAACGAAGTGACTTCTGCCAGCCACGTCTTAGAAAAGTGTTGTGTTACAAAAGTTGCAAGTCATTGTTTACAAGTGTTCAATGTTAGTTACTGCTCATAGATAATTACTGATCATACATAGATACTTACTGATCATAGTTAATTACTGATACTAGTTATGTACTAATCATAGTTACTTACTGTTAATTGATACTTACTGATCATACATATTTACTGATTATAGATACTTAATGTTCAGAGTTAGTTACTTCTTATAGTTAAGTACTGATCATAGTTAATAACTGATTATAGTTATTAACTGATCATAGTTAATTCCTGATCATAGTTACTTACTGAATGAAATTCTTGAGACATTTATTATTATTTTTTAGCCCTAATAACAACTTCAACCAATTTTCCTTACTTTCATTTTAGTTTATAAAAGTAGTAGTAGCAGTATAAAAACTTCAAAATATTTCTATCTATTATATTTTGTACATTTAAGTAACTTAAGCTCTTAATATATTCATAAAAATTAATACTCTTAGGTCCAAGGAAACCTTAAGGAATTTATTGTCTCAATTTAATGGTTTTAATAGTGAATGATTTGAGTTCAAAACAATTCACTGGCTTAGTGCTACATTTTGACTTTTATAAATAAATATATTTATAATAGCTAAAGCTAACATAGAGAAAATCTACTGTTTCATCTTTTTAATATTAAAACTAAAAGATGCATGAAAGAAACCCCATATTTCTGGCTGATTAAGAGTATTGTGTTGGTTAGTTTTCCCTAAATAAATAAAACCCTCTTCCTCAATCAGTTCAAATCAAAATCCAAAGCATATAATTCCATGTTCCATATGTTCAAAATAAAAAAAAAACGAAAATGCTACACAAAATTAGCGCATTAAATTGGCCAAAATATTGGGGGGAAGGCGGCATATTTCCAAGAGCAAACCATAAATATAAATTCCCAGGCGCTTTACGAGCAGGCAGCAAACACAACACAAAAAAAAACAGGAAAGAAGGCAAAAAGGATTACAAGCCACAAGGAGCACACACAGGACACGCAGGACACAGGAGCAGAGGCTTCGATAAAGCAAAGTCTATGAGATTTACGAGCAGATTTCAAGAGTTACAAATACATACATGGAATTTGGCCTAGGATCTGGAGGGAGGATGAAAGGAAGGAGGAAGGAGGAAGCCTGGCAGGATGTGTATCACACGCACAGCCGCAGGACACGGATTTTATGTTTCGGACGAACGGCGTCAAGTTGCCAAGAGCAAAACTTTCAATTGCATTTTGGCCAAGTTTCGTTTGGCTTATCTTTATTATCGCCGCTGTTATTATCCTTGGAGAGGCTAGAGTCCTGCAGGGGTATCCTGGAGCCTGGGAGCCTGGATCCAGCCTGCCGGTCTCATAAAGTATGTCATGTGTCATAAATGACAGATTCTTAGGCATACTTCATTGATCCCTTTTGGCCGCCTTGGTCGTTTTTACGATGCTGCCTGCTAAATTGTTGCAGGATACTCACACAGAGAGAGAGAGAGAGAGATAGAGAGACAGGATACTACACACACACAAGGAGAGCAATGTGTGCGTGTTTGAAGTTTGCTTTTGATAAATGAATGGATTTTCAAAGGCGACGTTAATGAAATACGCACACACACACAGACAGGATAACGAAGACGGCGAAGGATGCCATCGCTGCAGGAAGCGTGTACATGTACATCCTTCAATCTATCAAACTCACGTGTCCGTCGTGTCTCAATTTACTTGCTTAGTTGCTACTCCCTGGGCTGGATCCTTAGCTGCTGAAACCGAAACCGAATTCGAAACCAAAGCCCAATATTTTGATGGAGTCCACTTGGGCATATTTATGAAGTCCTGCAAATAAGAGCTGCCCCAACTGCAGATATTTCTACATATATATTTAATCCTTTCTAGTCACAGAAAGCCTTTAAAAAGGCTTTGTTAAATATAGTTTATTCCTTATAGTTCTTGTTCTTCACGTTCTATCCAATTGACACAATTCCCTAATGATTTTTTTTGTAGATTTCCTGGGTTAAAGTGTGCCAAAGTAGAGCCTTTGAATCGGTTGCCAAGACACAAAGTCAAAGCAAAAAAGCAAAAGAAAAGCAAAAGCGAACGCATTAAAAGCAACTTAATAATTCAGATCAAAATCACCAATCAGCGGTGCCGACATGTTGACAAACGATGCCGCCAACACCACCATTTTGGTAGGGAAAAACTGGCAGGGAAAAACCGGCAGGGAAAAACCTCAAGAACAACGACGACAACGACGACAAGAGATTTACATTTTCAAAATCGAATGGCGGCATAAGCCACCGCAAAGCAAGGCCATAATAAAATCCACGATAAACAAGATAAACCAAGACAAAAAAAAGGAAAATACGTGGGAAGTATATATAGATAGAATCGGAAAAGTCAAAGACTCTTTATTTTAGTAGATAAAATCAAAGGGTTAATATAGAAAACAACAAACAGGGAATTTGTAAAGACAATATTAGAGCAGGATACAAAATATATTTCTAATTATATTCCTGTATCTATAATATCTAATATTTCTACAGTTTGAAAGGGTATATACCCAAAGCAACAGCCTTTGCCTTAGCCTGGCTTTTTCCTTGCTGCTTCTCTTCCAAGATGCCTTGACGACGATGGCTAAAATATTTATATCTATTTCAGCTTGGCCGCTTTATACAATTTCCAACACAAGAGACAACCCTAACCGATACTCAATACCTCGTCCTTCGTCCTTTGTCCTTCGTCCTGCGTTGTTCCGATGTCTTCGTTTGCAATCAATGAAAGATTTATGACAATACATCCAAAAGGCAGTCAGAGAAAAGGAGGAGAAACAGGAAGGCAATGCCACATATTGTGTGCCAGGGAATTTGTTTTTTATGTCACATCATTATTTTTATTATAACGCAGCCCTGATATTCGAGAGTGATTAGTGGCTAAAAATGATAACAATAAGCGTGTCTAGAGTGGACCTAAATGATGCGAAGTGCTTTAGTTTAGGTTTTGTTTTAACAATACTTTATAAATTTTTTACTATTTCAAGTCTAGATTATCCTTTAATTCAAATTTATAAAGTATTTTTAGACTTAAGATACGAATTTTGTACGATTTTACTGTCATTTTAATAGACTTTTTTAAAGAACAAAAATTCTGATAAATAGAGGGAACTTATTCTTTTTATCACTCATACGCAGTGTTGTCCTTTGCTTAGAACTTAATTTTCTATCAAGGAAAAACTAGGGTTATACCATCTAAATTATTATTTTTTGAATCTATAAACACTTAAAATAAATCACTCATACGTATAGTGTTGCCTCTTGTTTTATTTTTAGACTTAAGATACGAATTTTGTACGATTTTACTGTCATTTTAAAAGACTTTTTTAAAGAACAAATATCCTGATAAATAGTTAGAAAGTATTGCTTTTTATGTTATTCTTTTTATCACTCATACGCAGTGTAGTCCTTTGCGTAGAACTTAATTTTCTATCAAAGAAAAACTAGGGGTATACCATCTAAATTATTATTTTTAGAATCTATGCACACTTAAAATAAATCACTCATACGTATAGGGTTGCCTCTTGTTTTGTGTATGTTCTCTACAATTGTGTTGAAGGTCTGTTAAAAGTATAAAACTACAATGATTATTTCTTATTTGCTTTTCGGAATAACCGGCACAGTTTTAGTCTTCTGAGGAAGTTTGGTTTCTTCACGAGGAGATTTCTTAGGAGGAACTCCTCCCTTTGGCTTCATGGCCAGATTCTCCTCATTGTTTAAATCGATCGTGGACAGGAGATAGTAGAAGAAGGTCTTCAACTTCTTACACGCATTGCGAACGACAGTGCCCTTCTCGTGAAAGGTGAAGCAATTGGCGAAAACCAGCTTAAAGTCACGGATGGCCTGGTAACCCTTGCGGTAGTAATTATTATTGAATCGCTTCTTGATGGTGCCCAAGTCCATTGGCTCCTTGATCACATTATAATAGTTGGCCATACCGACTTGCTTCGTGTCCACGGGCTTATAGAAATGGAAAGCCCAACGTCTATTCCAAAGGGCATTCAACACAAACTTGAGCGACCTCAGAACATTTGTCCTGCAACCCCGGCGCTTTCCGGTTAACCTTACCGGTGGCTGAACAATTCCATCCACCGGATCTATCTTCAACCTAGTATGATCCATTTCCAAACTGCCAAGAAACCCAAATTAATCTAAAAGTAAATTTAACTAAGAGAAAATCTTCACTTTCTCACAGTTTTAGTTAATTATTTACTTTATAGAATAGAACCTCACAGCACGGAACTTAAAAGTAAACTAAATGTTCTGTTTTGTTTATGAAGGGTTCTAAGATATTTTTCAGTGAAGCTTTCGTCGAGCTTACTTTGGTTAATACAAATTATTTAATTATTTTTCTATTATTTAATTAATTATTTAATTAAGTAATTATTATTCTACATTTTCAATTAAAACCTTTTTGCTAGCCATGGCTTCTTGTATTCTTCTCAATTATTCAAGTTTAATAATTATATTTTTAATTGTTTTATATACATATTTATTCTCCATTTTCAATTTGATTTTAAGGTCCACCTTAGCGAATTTATGGCCATAATGAGCGATGGTGGCTGATAGGGAAACGCAAGGACCAAGACTGCCTGCTCCTGATCCTGATATATATAAATTTTCTACATATTGGGTTACCTTTGCTCTTTTTAAAGGCAAAGTACTTCTTTTCTTATCCTCTTTCAATGGATCATATCCATCGATCAATTCAATTATCAATCCGATGTGTATAAAAATGGGGTTTCGTGACCTCCCACAACAAACACCAACAAACACCAACACACACCAACACTCACCAACACTCACCAATACACACCAACAAACACACATCCTCAATTGGCGATAACTTTATTCCTTTCCGGAAGCTGTAGTCACTGTAAGTGGAAACTCTCAGTGCGTGTAACACACTCGTGGGTGTACAGGGTGTGCACAACAACAACAACGAAAACAACAACAACAACAACTACAACAACAAGAAACAGGCAGTAGCTGGGAAAACGTGGAAAAGAGTTGGACAACAATGAAATGCTTTTAGCCTTGCGAAACTGCCAACGAAATTAAGTTAACAACAAAGTGAGCGGGAGGCGAAAAGCGAGCAAAAAAAAAAGTTTTCTGTGTACGGGGGCACTGTTTTTTATTGAAAATTGAGTTAAAAAACTGAAAGTGTCAGCGGCGGCGGGACGACATTATTGTCGTATGTGTATCGCATGTTGTTATGTCCCCCTCCCCACAAATGCCACCGGAATATATGTATATATGCTATGTCCCCTTATCCTTATACCGCCCCTGAAAAGTAGGCAACACTTTTTAGCCAAACTCATTGCCTTTTAGCGATTACAAGTTTGGTTGAGTTTATGATGCAAAATGGCACAGAAAAGGCTAATAAATGTATATATTATTATGTAAAAGATGATATTATTATTAACTCTTGTTGGCTTTGTTTTCTCAACTTAATTTCTTAATCTCTTGGAGGTATAACAACAACTTTAATGGCATTAATTTCTCATGCCTTAAGCCTCATCATCACATCAAATTCCTGATGTCCTGCGATGATCCTGGCGCTACGCAAAAGTTTCGAGACAGCGGAATGCCAATATAAGTTGCGAGACAGACGCACGGCAGGATGCCAGGACGAAGGACATTTCGGTATGAGATGCGGGATGCTGAAATCAGCGCAGATCACACACACACACACACACCTAGCGAATGTGTGTGTGTGTGTATGCGCATACAATTTATAAATTATTGAATCTATGAAAATATGAACATCACGTACACACACAAGTCCTTCAGCCCTCTCGCTCGCTCCCCCTTGGCAACTATCGGAGAGACAGAGTCAGACGAAAGACAATTGCAGAAAACGAACTTACAGTTATGCATAAAAACCCAAGGCATTGGGTTGTGCGTGTGCAAGTGTGTGTGTGTGTGTGTGTGTGTGTGTGTGTGTGTGCGGATGTGCGTGTGTATGCACAGAATTTCATTAAGCTGCCACCGTTCAACGCTTTCATATATGTATGTTACATACCCTTTTCATCCAGGATATTGTGATCCTTTGAGTCAATTGAAGAAGCCTAAAAAAAATAGAAAGGATTTGATTAGAAACTTACTAGAATTAAATTAAATATAGATACGTATAAGTCCAGCTAAAATATGTTATATATATATATTAACAAAATATATTGTTTCAAAAGTAGACTTTAACCTTTGAGATTTATTTAAAGTTTTCAGTTTGATACATTAATTTTTATTCGAATTTTGTAGACCTTTTCAAGTGTTTTTTTAAATCGCAGCGATTTCTGTTACATATTTAACAATATATTAAAGAAATATATGTACAGTTGTAGAAGGCAATGACAGATAACAGACAGATGACTTTTGCTAAAGGCATACATTTTAAAGTGAAATGTAAAAATTCTTTTACTTTTTATTTAGCTTAACCCTTCACAATATTTATAGTTATATTTCTGTGTATACAGTTCCAACATTTCATATATAAAAATTCATAACTTTCTAGTACAGAGTAGACCTTGATTCGACTTTCATATATATTTAATTTTTTTCTTCTTGGTTATAAATAAGTTTGCGCCATCAGTTCTGTTGTGTTTGCCAAAGTTTGTTCGTGTTTGTCGATGGCTTAGAGCAGAGAACCTGGAAATCATCCCAAGAAAACCCCTTCCCAGATCAAAAACTTTTCTAATAATACATTTGCAGAAGCTCTATCGAGATCGTTCTCATTTATTTGTTAATGATTGTAACAACTAATAGATGAACGATCGAAAATCCAGATGCCAGGCTGCGCGTCAAATCGAGACGGGTTCCATCGCCAGTTTGTGAAATCAGATGGCTGTTAAAATAAATCATAAAATATATATAAATATATATCAAAATATGTTGTATAACTCACTTAACATGTTGTACGAGGCAACCTTTTTAACATGAAGCGCAAAATCAAATTTGTGTTGAGTAATTGCTAAAAGATAATATAGAAAAATATATGGAATATATTAAAACCATTAAGTACAAGTTACTTACAAATCCAAGCTCTTATTTAGAGTCCAAACATGAATCCATTTTTGTTGTATTTTGTTCATAATGTTGTGTATAAATACCACATACCTTTAAAAATAATAATAAATTAAAATAATACATTAAAGTACAGCTCATTTCTTACCCCCAACACCCTCCTTTAAGCGCAAAATAAACTGAAAACACCGAAGAACACTTGTGATTTAAGGAACATTATTAAGAATAAAAATGTCCAAACATGTAAATATCTAAGAATAAGAATAAATTATATTTAATATACATATTTATGCACAAATAAATTGTTTCTTACCTCTTTAAAACGAAAACCAGAAATGCAATAAAACAATTCGCTTGTACTCACTCCGCGATCCAAAGGAATATAATTGTAAACTAAGAATAAGAAAATAATAAATAAATGTAAACTAAAAAATAATGTTTACTTACCATTTGTGTTTCTTGTTTTTGTTGTTGTTGTGTAATTGTTTGAGAACTTAGGAAGCAAGTATTACGTCCAGTAGAGAAGTTACTAAGGAATACCGAAAAATTGTTTGTATAATTTGTACAAAATTATTTATTGTTTCACATTTTGTTCACTTAAAAATTTTGATATTTTTTTGAATATTTAAAGCCGAATAAAAGTAGATCTGCTCCAGACGAGCTCTGGCTGCAAACTGAATATTTTCGTGCCGAGCCTATAGACCTGCTAGTGACAGGACCATAGTTTCGGATTCCATGGATCACTAGATCGGATTTTTAAGAAATTCGAGTCTTATTTCCAAAACCGATTGCAGTAGGCTGATTTTAGGTTTAAGAATATTTATACTTATATTTGAATTTGATCCAAGCAAGTTTGATGACCTAAGAAGGCTTTGAATTTTGTATTAAAACTATTTTTTAATATTTAATTTATATATATTTATGGGTAATCACAAGGAAATCAAGTTGATAAAGGAGACGCATGTGTTTGAATGGTTTAAGGATTATGATTCTGGTGAAAGGACAAGGAAGACGCCCACAAATTTCCACAGGATCTCTCACTAACATATATAACTAGGTTGAAGTCCTTTGATGTTGTTAAGGATGTAGAGTTATCCTTTTTACCCATCGTCATCTTTACCGATTCAAATATGTTGATTGATTCTCCCTTAATAAATCTACTGACTTTTACTAATGGTGACAAAGAAATTCAATTTATATTAAATAAAGCAAGCGATAAAATAAATATATAAATGGATTGAAGTTTAAGGAGTATGTTCTATTGAGTTAAAAAATAAATCCAACATTTTTCCCCCATAAATTATTATTATCTAACTAATGTAGAATTTGTTCTTAAAAGGAATTTTCTATATTTGATAGCTGTATTTGTAGCGCCGAGAAGGAATGCTCTTCAGAGCATTATGAACCTGGAAACCATCCCAAGAAAAACCCTTCCCAAATAAACGACTTTTCATATACATTCCAGAAGCTCTATCGAGATCGTTCTCATTTATTTGTTAATGATTGTAACAACTAATGAAAGAACGATCGTAAATCCAGATGCCAGGCTGCGCGTCAAATCGAGACGGGTTCCATCGCCAGTTTGTGAAATCAGATGGCTGTAAAAAAAATATCATTTATTAGTATATACAAATAGCTATAATATATAGTAAAACTCACTTAACATTTTGTAATTGTCAACATTTTAACATGCAGCGAAAGATCGAAATAGTGTTAATTGCTAAAAAATATAGAAAAATATATTGAATATAGTTAAACAATTAAGTGCAAGTTACTTACAAATCCAAACTCTTAATTAGAAGCCAAACATGAACCCATTTAGTGTTCCATTGTGCATAATGTGTGAAAAATTGTGGACAATCTACTAAATTAAGATATGAAATTATACTTAATCAATTAAAGTGCTAATCATTTCCTACCCCCATACACCCTCCTCAGGCGCTATTAAACTAAAACTCCAGAGAACTTGTGGGAACATTATTTAAGACTAAAAATGTCCAAACATGGAAAAGTCTAAGGATGAGAAAAAATAATCAATTTAAAAATAAATTTAAATTATTTCTTTCTTACCTGTATGATGCGAAAACCAGAAACGAAATAAAACGTCTCGCTTTACATTACAAACTGTCAGTGGAAAAAAAAGCAATTGGTTAAATCTTAATTTAAATTAAAACTTATTATTTACTTACCTTTTTTTGGTTTTCTGAAGCGAGTGTTTTATTTAGTAGTAAAGCTACTAACTAAAAATTTGCTTGTATAATTTATACAAATTGAAAAAGAAATTTTATTTCACATTTTGTTCACTTAAAATTTTGATTTTTTTTTTTTTGAATGTTTAAAGCCGAATAAAAGTAGCTCTGCTCCGTACGAGCTCTGGCTGCAAACTGAATATTTTCGGTCTGAGCCTATAGACCTGCTAGTGACAGGACCATAGTTTCGAATTCCATAGATTACTAGATCGGATTTTTAAGAATTTCAAGTCTTTTTTCTAGTTCTAATTGCAGTAGGCTAATGTTAATTTAAAGAATAGCAAGGAGAAGTAATTACATTCACACATATAAATTAATATTTAAAAAATCGTGATAAGGATCAATTATTGTGAAATACTATTGTCAGTATTAAAACTAATAGTCCTTGAAAGTAATACCCACATAGGACTTACTTAGTCATTAGGTTCTCTACCTTGAAATAATGCTATATTAAACCATAATCTAATCTTAATTTATTTTCATTACTTTAAAACTATATAGAAAAATACTTTAATGATATTAACTTTAATATATATGTATTTATTGATCAAATTATTAGATTGTTTTGGCTTATTTTGGCAGAAAGGACTCGAGGGCACACGTGGCATGTCCTTCACCCGATTATCCACTAATGCGAACTGCAAACGGATAACTACGAGTATGAATTATGCACATTTACTTGCGCTGCTCGTGAGCATCCGTTCCACTTTGAGATGCACAAGCTAACCAGGACCTGCTCCTGCCTCCTGCTCCCCTCACATCCTCCTTGCTACCATCTTGTTCCGCTGTGCGTGTTTGCATTTTGTGCGTGGCGCTTCCTTTCGCCTCGTCCTTTGCACAGTCACGGTCACATTAATATAGCCAAGACTAGCTGGGACTTAAATATTAGTGATTTTTATACATATATCCTTGCACGGTTTTATAATATTATTTAGAAGCCTGTAATGCTCGAAGGAGTTATTTCCGACCTTATTCTTGATCAGCATGAAAATACGAATCGATCTAGCCATGTTTGGGAGATTTAAAATTTTTGCGATTTTTTTTTCGAAATTTTATCATTAAATTTATATTGTTAAAGTTGCAAAATTTTTAAAATTTGAAAACTAAGTAAGCAGATTTGTAAACGCTTTAAAAACTAGCAAAGAATAGCATTCCGAATTAAAATTAATGCATTGTTGGGGTAGTTATGAGTTGTTTAGACTTTGATGAGTCACAAAATTGTCATATAAAATTATCGATAAATATTGGCTCAAACAATGGTAATATAATTAAAAAACTAAGTGAAGGAGTCATTTCCGACCCTATAAATCATATATATTCTTGATCAGAAGGAAAAACCGCATCGATCTAGCCATGTTTGGAAGAAAACAAATTTTTTAATTTTTTTCGAAATTTTATTATTAAATTCATTGTCAAAGTTGAAAATTTGACAAATTTCGAAATCCTTTAAATTCTTAAACTTAGTATGCTGATTTGTTAACACTGTAAAAACTTGCATAGAACAGCTATCCGAATTAAAATAAATGCATTTTTGGCTTAGTTATGAGTATTTGAATCTTTGATTTTTCGATAAAAATATCGATAAATAACGAATTTTTTAATCTTAATAATGATCGATTTCCGTTTCGATCATATAATATATTGTAGTTGTAGTATATGAAATTTAAAATTAAAAAATTTAAATATAATATAAATTAATAATAAAATTAATAAAAAAATTGAAATTTTACAATTCAATTATAAAATAATCAACATTTCCATATACCGATAGTATGCAATAGAAATATTGATGTATTTATCAAATATATACTTTAATGTAAATTTAGAAAATTAATAGAATAATAATAATTACTCACTCTTAATATTATTTATTTCATATTTAGCTATATATTTTCAGCCCAGACTGTGTGTATTCGTAATCCATTTAATTCAACCAAGCGACCATGCCATATGTGAGTGTGTGAGTGTGGTGAGGGGTATACATATGTGTGTGTGTGTGCCTTCGGTATTATCAACTCATAAATATTTATTGAATTTTAAGAAATTTTCAAAAATGGCTACACATATACACACACACACAGAGAGAGACGAGAAGCGCCAAGGAACCGCAGGACCAAGAGTGACTTGTAGTCCTGCCCCGGCGTATCCGTCATCGATTTCGATTGCCTTGGCAATCCTTGGCGCTCCTTATGTGTGTGTGTGTGTGTGCCAGGATATGGCTGGATTTGCCCCCAATATACCCTTTTGCATTCTCTTATTTGGATTATAATTTTTTCCATTTCACATGTGAGTGCACTCCTCCTTGGCGCTTGGTGTGGTGGTCATCACATCCTCCGCCAACTTGGTCACTTGTCAATTTCCATTTTCATTTCGTCAGCGAAAGAGACCACCAGTGGAGTCTGGCCAGGAGACGGAGGCAGATGGACCCAATCCAAGTCCGAGGGGTAATCTCAGTTGAAACAGAAACAGAAACAGCTGAAAATCAAAGGGGGAGGAGAGGCCAATAGACAAGGTCATCGATTTCAGGAGTTTTGTTTTGCTTTTTGTTTCAATTTAAATTGAATTTGTGTATAAATCATCAATAATTGCCAATCAAATCGACTCTGGGAACTTTTGTTTGGAACTCTTACTAAAAAAATTAAAACAATTCTACATCAACAAAAATATTTGCTATAAAATCAAGGCACCTTGGAGTATATATATATTTAATATATTTAATTAATTAATAACTATTTAAATATAAGCTTGAGAGATCAAAGTTTTCTCTTTGTATAGCTCTTATCAAAGTCACAAGTTCACAGCAAAACCTGTTGCTTCCCAGGACTCCCGGCAGGACCTTCTATTAATTGGATTTTTTCTCAACTTAAGCCTTCAATTGAGATCGAAGTCCAGGATATGCAGGACATAATTCAGTTTCGTTATTCTTTGACTTGATTTCCTTCAACTCAATCATTTCCATTTACCAGAGAGAGAGAGACGAGGTCACTGGGAAATGCAATTTGAGAGCGGTGCATCTGGACACGATGCTGACCCCTCACCTGTGACCCTTTTCCCCAGGAAAAGCCCCACTGAAATCGACAGAGAGTGTCCTGGTCAAGCGGAGCTTTTCCGATTTTAATCGCATTAAATAGTCACTTAAGCGCCAGCTTGCCTCACTCCCAAAAAACCCCGCCACTCGCAAATGCAAAATTAACTTGTTGATGTGGCAACGGAAAGGGTGAAGGGTGTGGAAAATCGCTGGATGGGTTTTCCCGATTTCCCACCCCAAAAGCGGGAGATGCCTACACGGTGCCACGTTCAATGGCTGTTGGAAAATCGCTTCGTGTTCGAATCTTATTAGTGGTTTATAATTACAATTGTATACAGACCAATTACGTTACGAGATGAACTAAAGCGAAGCGACCCAGGGGGGGCGGGGGAGGGATGGAGGGGGGTCTTCAGGTGTGTGCGAGTGTGTATAGCTAATTAACCACCATCAGGACTGTCCGTTAAGTGCTTCTCGTGTGTGTGTGTGTGTGCACTTTGGAAAATGTAAATGTTACAACAATTATCTGAGCATATAATTCTGTAGAGCATATATCGAAATTTATCGAATTAAAATATCGATATTATTGAAAAGTAACTGGTGTCTTGTTTCGATTGCATGATTACGATATATCAAGTAGTATATCGATTTGTTATAACTTTAAAATATCGATTATTTTATCGAATTTTCTTATAGAAACCGATATATTAATATTTTCTTTAAGAGTGTAAAATTTAATTAAAAACCAAAAGGAAGACCTTTTACTGGATCCCTTTTATTTATTATTTTTCCCTAAGTGTATCGATAATGATGTTCATTTCGTAAGCAAATGTCATAACACACACCCACTCACACACACACCACGGCTAGCATTTATGTAAATAGCAGTTGGAATTTATGCATATGTATTTGTGGAGCTCCAAAGACAAAGACAACCCCCAGCTTAACCCCCATTAACCCACTCTGGCCAAGATGAGACCCGCCGAGTGTCCGAGTGTGCTTTGTAATTGAATCCACGTCTGAAATCTGTCTGTGGTCGATAATTTCGTTTGGGGGCTCCATTTTGAATACAAATTTATCGCCACGAAGCCCCGTGACACGTCCCAGGCAACCGCAACACGATATTCCGGATGCTGATGTTCGATGCCACGCCTCCGAGTGCTCTTATGGTCCTCCCAGAGTCCTCAGAGTCCTCCGATAGCTTCGAATCCATCCAATTCCCATGCCCCCATTCCCCTCGATAATCTCCCTTAAGGAGATTGAAATATTTTCCGGATTCCCGTCAATTGCCAACAAGCACTATCCTCCGGACTGGGAACTACTAATTGGAATAGTTGGCTGTGGCAAATATGGAACTTAATGGATGATAATGGGCCATTGAACTGACTCTGAGGATGGCAACAATACCGGAAACTACTTGAAAAAAAAGGTAAAAGGATCGGGAAAGATTTGACACAAGCAGATCATAATATTATACTATTTACAGACTATAAATAAATGTAAGACAAGCAAATGTTTATAAAAAGTATATAAACTTGCTTTAAGTTAGTAGAAATAAAATTAAAAATATGAAGAAGCAAATTCCTAAGTTTGTATATTTAATTCCAGGAATTAAAGGTTCAAAATAATACTTAAATTGGCTTAAATATAAATATTTCACTTATTAAATACAATAAGATCTTGTATTAAAAACAAATCCAGGGAGCTATTTACTTTGGCATTTATTTAAAAATATATTCAAAATCCATTAGTTTTTGTAATTAATTAACTTTTATTAATAAAAATTAAGTAAATTAATTGTACTGAATTTACTTAAATAAAATAGTAAGAAATAAATTCCTAAGGCGACATTTATAGTCTGACAAAAATTGTTATTTATTAAAAATATTTAGAATCAAATGCAGTAATGCAAACCAATTGACAATTGTTTTTTTAATTTTAAAAGTTTCAGGAACTATAGTTTTTTTTCCTCTTCCCTTTATTATTATTTTTTTAATAAAGAAATATAAAAAACAGTTTTTAATTTTTTTTATTTTGTATATTATCTACTTATATAGCGATAAATAATGTTAATGCCATTTACCTGTTATTAAAAATGAAGTTTTAATCACAAACTCAGTTTAAAAAAA